CTCGGTATTGTTGGAGCATTGTTAAATCAAATTCCAAATGCGCCTTGTATTTTGGATTAAGGATTATGGGTATGACAATGAGGACCTGATGCCACCAAATATGACAGTTTGAATTTTGACCTATAAAATCTGTGGATTTTAACCAGGTCTGACTTGTCATATTTAGTGTGAAACCTTGATAACCAGGACCAGAAAAAAAAAAACGTTTTTCCGACATTTCATACCATGAATAAGACTGATCAACTTTGTTTACATAATCGTCTAATGCTGTTGGAGGTTGAGTGGAAACACAAGTAATAAATACAATGAGAACAAAATTCGAAATATTCTATAGTTTTTAAACACTTAGAATGAAAAACAATATTCACAGAGATGTAACTTTGTAAACGACGTTCGACTCTACGGCAAGTACGAGAGGATATATGTGTGAGAGGATACCATTATCCTCTCACACATATACACACATACTACTTAATACTTATATGTTTTGTTAATTCTTGAGTGTACTATAATGGGTTATCCTGCTTGTACTCTTTTGATTAAATAAAAGTTCAAACCAACGCCGAGTCAATCTGATACAACTGTTTTCAGTGTATGTTCCATCAACCTATAGGTCTAGAAATGCTAAAACGACCATATGGATTCCTTGTAGCACGAAAATTTCACAATCCCGTGTTAGATCAAGAGACAACCTTAATGCCACAAGCTCTTTTTGATATTTCATTCAGTTTGTACATGATTGAGATGTACTTAAGTACATGTATTGCTTAACATTCCTATTTCCGTTTAAATAGTATTCAGTTTTTTCATGATAAAATCATATTATCAGAAAATCTATTTAACTACTCAGTTTTTCTGTTTTGCTCACAGTAAAGAATAAATGCTGTAATGAAAAATTTGAAGGATCTGTACGCTCATTTGAGAATTACCGACTTCATCAAGCAATAAATACTACTTGTATTCATAATTTCGTCCCTTTCAATGGGAAAAGTACAGAGGTGGGCAAGCCTGACTATTTCTAAACCTGAGTCATGTTCAAGCAAGTGAAGAGATATGAATGGCATAGTTGAATATGCTTGATCTAGGAGAAACTCCACAGTTTTCTCCACAGTTTTCTATGCAGATCTTTTTCTGCGTTCTGCGTAGTCAGGAAAACACTGTAACAAAATTCTGTGACAATAAAAAACATGACAGTTTGAGAAAAAAGTAACTGATGAAAATACAAGCAATAAAACAAAAAGATTGTTTTTTTATTATAAGATTTGTCGAGTAGGACTCTTCGAACATAAGGAATACAAACATTCAAAGGAACGCAAATATTTCAAAGAAATCCTATTTTAAAACCAAGAATTTTTCCATAAAACATCATTTTCCAAGTAACAAAAGATTAACTCTAACGTTATTTTAATGTATTATAGCTCACTGTTTAGATAACTATTTGCTCCACAATGCACTATTTAATTCCTGGAATCTCGAGGATGAAAGAACCATACAGCGTGCTACGCTGATTTAATAGTTTGAATTCTGAACATTAAAACTGGTCTGTTAACGTTCTATGAAAGAACGCATGGAATGATATACGTTACGACACTGTTTACTGGAAGATTAGCAACATTTTATAAGTTACTTTATACGAATCGTATCTCCACGTTACGCATTTTAGGGCCTCTGTTGCATACAGTTTTTTAGTAAGATTTCTACAATCGTATAGAATAATTATTAAATTCTGTGTGAATTTTATGAAAAAAGCAGAAATATATTTTTCTTGTTGACATGTTGCAGGAAGAATACAAAAAAGAAATTTTTTTTATGATTTATTATTGAATCTTTACATCGCAGTTGAAGTGCTAAAAAAGAAATTCATTTTTTGTTAATAGAATAAACTGAATTATGAAGGTAGCTTGAATATCATACTGGTTATTTTAATGTAATTTTTGACTGTTAGAGTCATTTTCAAACAAAAGTTTCGAAACCTTTTTTGCTCATTTGTCATGGCTGTTGCAATTCATTCTTTAAATGACGAAGTTGATTTCGATGACGAATTTTTTTTCGGGCCACTTCGCAAAGCCAAAGATTTGAAAAATATAGCATTTCAAATCGTCATTGAATGTCTTTTATGTTTGGATGACGCATCAAATCGAGATACAACGGTACGCCAAGATCTTCTACGCGAATGTCGACTACAGTATCAAAATGACGAACGTGAGTTAGCTCGAATTAATGAGTTTGAACAAATATATGCTTCCCAAGAAGCACTCAAATGGTATTCAAAAGATTCCTTTTTATATCGCCTTCTAAACCGAGCGCTTCGAACAGAACGTGCTGCCGAAATTCTGAAGTATCGCCTAATTATTATAGATCTTCATAGAGAGTTGCAGAAGCTTATGCATCAACAATTAAGAGAATGTCCCGTATTGCTCACTGTTTACCGCGGTCTACCTGTGTTTAATGAACTACGATTGTTAGAAATGAACGAAGGCGATTTGATTACCATAAGCTCATTTTGGTCGGCTACTACGGATAAGCAGATTGCCGGCATATTTGGTGGAGCCGGTGACGATCGCAAACAGTCATCGGATCTGCAAAGGACGAGAAACGGTTTCTGCTAGAAAATGGCCTAATATGATTTTGAGCGAAAATGATCGTAAATGCTTCCCTTTTCACTTCCCCCTTTCAAAAATTCCTTCTCGTGTCTTTCAGACAAAAATTACTTTGCATTTTTCGCCACCTGTTCAACAAAAGCCATTTACCCTTTTCCGCAAATTTCTCGTTCGATTTCAAGGTACTTGAGCAAAGCTCATACATAGTAACATAGAGACTTTTCTGACCTTCGAAATAAGCCAGCCATAAACGAGGTTTTCAGAAATATATCCATACAGGAAAATTGTCGAAATGCTAGTGCGATATTATCATTTTGACCTATCTTAGCGCCTTAAAGGAATATTTCTTAAACTCATCTACTCAGAACCGGAATGTTTTGTATATAGAAAGACAGAGAACTTTTCGGGTTTCACAATGAGTTACAAATAAATCTTTTAAAAATATGCTCATATGGGTCAATAGTCGAAATACTTGGCCGATGTCCTAATTTTCATCTGTCTTAGTGCTTTAAATACACCTTTAGTCATTTTTCTGCCGTAATAAAAAGGTGCGTATCTCCGTTTCATGAGAAAAGTTGATAATAGGGTTTCTGGAAAACGTGACCGCTCGAAAACGAAGGACTTAGTTTTTGGTCAGAAAAAAAATGCTTCAAATGTGCACCCAAGTCTACTAATGTTACGAATAAACTCACATACAGCGTTGTACAGTCTGCACAAGTCCTAATTTACCATTATCACAAGTTTTTCCCTTATACAACGTCGAACTTTTTTAACGCATTAAAAACGTTTGTAGCTTTAACGCGTTATTTTTTTACTCGAAACGTTTAAAGATACTGAAAATATTCTTTTTAAAAAAAAGGAAAAAATTTCGTCTAATTTGACCGATATGGATCCGGAGCTTATAGAATCTAGCCGTCAGAATAGATCATTGAACTATTTAAACGCATTGAGAGGAACCTAAAATACGTCGAAGAGTGTTGAAAACGAAAGAGAAGATTAAGCTTTTGTCGTGATTTGAACATGGGATGTGGGAGCAAGAGAAACGAAGAATTGCACAACAATTGAGAAACTGAATGGTGTCTATTCTGTTTCTCATTCGTTGTGCAATTCTTCCTTCATTTTGGAGAATGTGCTGATTGTGTGTTGTTTGGTCGACTTGACACAAGCGTTTGCGCGTGAACTGATTTGGGTTTTTTCCGTGTTTTCTCATTTAACAGATAACCGATTGTAAAAGATTGTTTGTATCGTTTTATTGCCGATCATAACAACTACCACAGTAACCCTCGCTGTTTCAACAATTCTATCTGGCACGATTATGAAAGTGGTATCGAATGATGAGCAGGTGTTTGAAGTTGATCACGATGCTGCAAAGCAGTCGACGATGCTGAAAATGTTTTCCGATGGCAAGTATTCGGATTCTTTTCTCGTTTTCTTTATACATTGATCATTTTGTACTCATCTAATTGTAGAAGGCTTAGATGGACCGATCCCATTGCCCAATGTCAAAGCTTCTATTCTGGGACCGGTTGGTTTGTGCCCCATTTTTTCATTCCGATAGGGAAATAGTATTGTTTGTTCCAGATCTTCGATTTTTGCAATTATCACAAAAATGAGCCTATCAATGACGATGATCCTAACGCTGATATTAATGAGCCGGAACGGTGAGTTTTCTTTTGTTTGAGAGAAAAACAAGCTCACTTTTTTTGTTCAGAGCGGATGACATCAGTGATTGGGATAGTGCATTCATCAGTCAATTTACACTAGAGCAGCACACACTCTTCGATATTATCACGGTTAGTTTGTCTTTTGCTCATGGAGAGAATCAACACTGTCTCTTTTATTATCAGGCTGCCAATTATTTGGGCATCAAAACTTTGCTGTCTGTCGGCTGTAAAACAGTTGCAAATATGGTGCGTAACAAATCGTCGTCGGAAGTACGAAATATGTTCAACATTACCTATCCACCTAGTCAAAATTCGAATGAGTCAGCAACGAACGACAATGCTGATGGAACAGTAGAAGCAGCCACTTCCAACAATAATGGTGCTGCATCACAAGCTGACTCTATGAGTGAGTGAACACAATTCGAGATCATTTAGATTTGACTTTATGTTTGTTGTGAACAGTGACTTTGATTCTTTTGCAGAGAAGAGATGAGATAAAGGAAAATAAAGATATGCTTAGATGCGATAAACGAAAGACATCTTGATCATTGTGTTATGTTTTTCGCTTCTCATCGTATGGCACATGGACTGTTTAGTGACGCAGGTTTAGAATGTTTTGTTTATGTACTTGTGTGTAAGATGCCCGTAACTCAAAAGTTTAGTGAAATGTTGTTTTCACTTTTTTATGTCACGGTTGGATAGAGCGCGCTGAGTTACATAGAAATAACTTCATTAAAATTAGCCTATTCTTAAAAAACTAGCATTTGTCCGAACTAGCAATATTGCTAAATTGAGAAATATAAAATAGATGATATTGCGCTAAATTTGATTTTTGCTTCTCCTATAAGAAAGGGAGAAGGTTGAACACATAATTTCGATACACAATGAATACACAATAAATATACAATGTGCGAGAAGAAGAATTAACACTTCGCGCTCATTATGGTTTCCCAAATAGTATCTTGCCCGATCGAACAAGTTGTTCGAGCAATATTTCCCAATTCGGCAAGTGACAAGGGATTGTCTGTTGCGCTTGCATTCGCTACTTCTCGGTAAGTTGTGTGTGGATCATAAAAACGTATTTAATGAAACACATTTACTACTTTTTGATCTAAATTGTTCAAGCTCTTCCTTAAATCGCTTCATTACAACACAATGGAAAGGTTCTACTATTATTTACTCCTTCTAAGCCGCGGATTCATGAAACAGTGTATAGAAAGAAAGTGTCGGAGACAGTTTCCTTGAATAATGGGTTTACTTGATTCACACCTGCTTCTAGTGGATGAAGTGTAAAGACACAATTGGTTTCAGATTGTCATCTTCATGACTGTTAACCAAGTACATTAGTAGTCTTGGTCTCATTTTCCATCCATACTGTTGTTTTTGTTTACAGTCTTTTTGAAAAACGAAACAAATATCTTCAACAACCATTAATAATCTTCAAGAAAATATTGGTAATTGTACCGGTATTGATTAGACAACTTCCTATACCTTTTTTATATATTTTCAAAAAGTTTCTGTTTACGAACAGAAGTTCATTAGTAAAAATAGCTTACTATATTCTAAGTGGGTGAACTATTTGCTTTAGTGACAAAGAATATAAAGTATAACCAATAAGTACTAATTTGACGGTCACGTCACAGTTCTAAGCATTTTCTCACAATTTTCCTCATATCTGTACTCAGTGAAGCATGATCCGTGCTCTGAACTTTGTGCATCCATATTTTATCAGTCTAATTCCATTTAGCGCTCTGCCTCATATATTCTACGGCATCTGATCTGAATCCAGATCAAAAACAACTGACATTTAATAGCACACTAGTAGCCTGTTAAATAAATGATAAGAAATACACAGAGTTTAAACAGGCTTTTACTAGTGAAAATACAGTTAGAGGGCAGACACTATTTATTGTCCATCATTTGAGCGGTAATGAAAGCCTAAAAGCAGCCAACTAATTGTATGCCAGTGAGGTTCTGATTAGGTATGTACCGGTATCGGTACCCATACAGAAATACTGATAGCGAAAATTCCGACTTTCTTCGATTTGGAGTTTTCTGGATTTTTCCATCTCGAATGAGATAGTTTAGCGTTACGAACAGTCAGAACACAAAAAACACTCAGCTGTGTATTCTGAGCATGTGTAGATAGAAGAAAAAAGGAAACTTTGGCCTTAGAAAGCAAACAGAGCTCTTGTTTTGCACCCCTTATTCTTTCTGGGTCCAGGATGCTAAACTGTATCATTTTAGCATGGAGAAAGGTCAAAAACAGCAGTTTTCTGTCGGCTGCAGACCATTGATTGACACTATTTTATAAGCGAAATGAAATCTTGTATTCAACCAAAATGAACAGCAACCTATTCTTAAGATACTCATCAGATAGCATAAACATTTCTTTACAAAATCAGATATCTGCGATTTCTAGATAATATTTCTGTGGTTGTATTTACGGTATAAAATTATTGTCTTTTTTAATATAAATGGCAGGTAATAAGGTAAATCCTGAATTGGTCTTAGATGATGGTAAATCTTCACAATTTCCAGATTATTTACCAAATTTAAAACGTTATACAAATTCAAAATTTTGCTATAATTCAAATGCTATTGAAAATGCAACAATAATCGATGCAAAGATAAAGTTGTTATAACCTAGAGAACAAAACCGAGGCCAGGCCCCATTACGATGTTCAAGAAAAAACACTAGAAGGAGAAAATAGAAGCCAAGATTTCTCTAAGCAGGCTAGAAAGTAAAGCAAGGATAAAGTTGCATATCAGTGTGATATTTGGATATTAATATAACAGCATGAACTGGTATTTACAGACAGACGATACTTGTCTAATCGAACGGCCGATAAACCTATTGGACCTATTTGGAATGATTATAAATTTGAATTACCATCGACAGTTTTAGAAAAACAATCGAGAATTATCTGAATCTCAATCACTGGTATTTTGTTCATCATGTAATGAGGCTGGTACAAAAAGTATGTAGTTCTTGCAATGGCCGAGATACATGTGAGTGTTTTCATACTCAAGGTGATTCATTTAGTATAATTTATTCAACATGCAATTGAATTAGAATTAAACATTGCTTGTGGTGCAAGAGATCAGAGGTAAAGTAGAATGTTCAAATTGTTATGGTTCAGGTCCTAGATTAAAAGTGGCTATTTTAAATGTTGAATCGTATACAATACATTCAATGTCATTTTCACAAAATTCAGTATTACCGAATAAACTGATAAAGAAAGCCACAAAATATTAAATTTTTGGTCAGAAGATTAGAATGGTCAAAAGATTTACCAATCCAAAATTACGTTTCATCAATTTGTAAACGAGCACGAAATTCAA